TAGATGGGTTTGAGCAAGCAGAAAAGCTATCAGTGAAGAATTCAGTGAAATGTGAACTGGGAAGAATGTCTGACCCTGTTAAAAGAGAAGATAACAAAGTAAAGGAGCTGACATTTGAAATTGAGCGCCTGAAAAACCGTCTCAAACAACTTGAGATAGTTGAGGGAGATTTGATCAAGACAGAGGATCAGTATGGCATGTTGGAGAAAAGGTTTGTGACTGAACAAGACAAAGCCAACATTCTTTCCCAACAGGTGGAGGAAATGAGGAGTCAGATAGCACGAAACAAAGCAATTGAGAAAGGAGAGGAGGAAAGCCAGGAAGAAGACCTCCAACAACGATGCAAGAGAGAGGAGACCAAAACCAGGGAACTGAAGGCTGATGTCGTAGCCCTCAAAGAGAAGATCCATGAACTGATGAACAAGGAAGACCAACTTTCTCAGCTTCAAGTGGATTACTCTATCCTGCAGCAGAGGTTCTTGGAAGAAGAGGAGAAAGCCAAGAACATGGGCACGGAAGTTTTTCATCTCACCAAAGAACTGGAGGTAGCAAAGCGTCATAGCCGAGCACTAAGGCCCAGTTTGAATGGGAGGAGAATGGTGGACGTTGCTGTCACATCCACTGGAGTACAGACAGAGGCATTGTCCACTGGGCCAGCCGAGGAGGACACCCCAGCTGTGTTTATAAGGAAGTCTGTTCAAGAAGAGAATCACATCATGAACAACCTCAGACAGAAGTGCCTGAAGAAGCCAACAGAAAAGAGCGGCGCTCTTGAACGTTGCCCTTCATCTAGCAGCGACCTGGGTTTGAAGAAATCCTGGATTCCCTGGATGAGGAAAAAGGACAACACCGCTCAAGAGACCAACTTGGAAAAGCGTCTGCACATTAATGGAAATCATTTGCCTTCTGAATTGACCATGTCCCAAAAGCAAGGGCAGCCTTTACACATCCGAGTAACACCAGACCACCAAAACAACATGGCCACTCTTGAGATCAGGAGCCCCACTGCTGAGGATGTTTTCTCTAGCTCAGTTCCCCTCAGCCCCAACCCATCTCAACCTAAATCCAGAATCACAATCATTCCACCTACTCTGCTCCTACCCAGAAGAGAAAGTCCACCACTGGACCTCAGGGTCCTGAAAGAGCCAAGTCTCCAGTCACCATCACAACGATATCCAGAGCCAAGTCTCTAGAAAGCAGCAGAGCTCCCTCCTCTTCATCAGGAAGGCCATTGTCCCCTGTCTCCATTATGACAGTGAGCACTGCTATAGTGCCTGAAGCATCTGCCTCCCCAGAACCCCAGGAAATGACAATGGGCCGAGCTGTGTTCAAGGTTACGCCTGAGAAGCAGATGGTGCCAGTGCCTTTACGGAAGGGCCACAACAACACTAGCATCATCACCACCACTGATGATAACAGGATCCATATTCATCTAAGCAACAGCATCACCCCAAAGATGGTAGTCAGGCCGGTGGCTGCTGTAACAGAGGGCAAGGATATGACCTTATCAACAGGTACAGTTTTACGCTCGCCCCGCCAAATCACCACTACTGCTACCAGGAGCACACAGAGCAAAGTGATGAGCAGTATCACAATTTCCCCAGTTTCATCCACCACTTCCAGACCCACACAAAGCATGGTAAGATTTGTTTTAAGGTTCTGTTGATCCAAATTATGAAATAACATGTTTTCCTATAGACAACTTTGGTTTAATTTGTGCATTATTTGAAATACCTGCCCCTTACTCTAGATAATCCATACACACTACTGCAAACACTTCACTGGACGTACTTGCTGGAGCAAGAAAAAGCAGATTTGGTTAAAAGTTCCATTCACCCCCATTGTATTAACGTGTCAATGGTGGATATCTCAAAGCCTGTGCAAATTAAACCCAAACTGCGTTACTCTGTACCATGTGAATGAGAATTTCTATTGCTTTATTTTTAATAGTTCAACATTTTCGGGAAATACACCTATTCACTTTTTGATGGGGAGTTGAATAGCAACCTTATTGTTGCCTTTGGACAGCCTTGCTGCAATTAGTTTCCAATCTTCGTGCTACGCTACACTAACTGGCTTTAGGCTTATTACGTAGAGAAATAGAAATTCGTCGTTTCTCCACGTGCAGCCGGCTGTGAGACGAGTGCGCAGTGACCGTCTAAAAAGTGCAACACCGAAAACACATTCTGCAGAGATATTCAATAACTTCACACTTATACAATGTAGTGCCCCCAAAATCACCTTACACATTAATGATATACTGCTGGTAATACTACGACACTTAGTTTGGGGGAAAAAGACTTTTGCATACCTAATATTAGGTAGGCCTATTTTTAATATTCAATAACTACACTGTTAAAGACTGTAGTGTCTTTGTTTTCGGTGTTGCACTTTGTAGACGGTCCCTGCGCACTCGTCTCACAGCCGGCTGCACGTAGAGACCAATGTTATTTGTGCCGCTCCTAGGAAGACTCATTTATGTGAAAATGTACTTGTAGCTTGTTGTCTACTTAACTACCATAATAAAGAGGCGTCGTTTGTGTTTTAAACACGAATCTGTGAATATATTTCCATTTACTGAACTCAGTAATAAATGGCACCTTTCCAGTTATCTCTAATTACGAGATCTTTTCTCATAATTACGAGATCCGGAACTCGTTATTATGAGATAAGGCTTCCAATTTTTTTTTCTTTGGTGAATGCAAAAAAAAGGAGATGAAGCAACACAATGTTGGTGTTTTAGTGGACCATTTAATATGCTCTTTGTGGATCAGATGGATAGCATGACAGAAGTGCCCCTATAGGCAGGCTTCAGAACAGCAGAGCTAATGATGTGGCCTTTTGCCACTCTGTTACAGTTAGGCTGTAATGTAGTTGTTACTCAGTGTTTACATTCACAAACAGCCATGCAGGGCTCAGTGCCCTCTGGCTGACACAAAACCTTGCCTTGCACCACTAACACTAACAACACTGACACCTGTGTGTGTGTGTGTGTGTGAATGAATAAATATTTACGTTTTTCATTCACAAAGTTCCTATAGCACATAAGAGCAGTTCCATTGTTTAGAAAATCAGAATTTATTTCTTCCTGTAATGGATTTTGCCCCTTTTCCATTATATACTCTTTATGTTCCCCTCAAGTGTTCCCCTCTCTTCATTTTCCTGCCTGAGAAACTTTACTCTCTCTCGCTATTGTCAACAGACCGGGCATGATGCCCAGCCACCTCGCACAGGGCTGACCCGCATCCCAATGTCCAAGAGCCTGAAGACGGGGAAGGCTATGCTGGGATCCCTGGGGATCTCGCCTGGGGTAAAGCTGGAGTCACGAGCTGAGAGTCAGTCTATGAGGATAGAAGTTAAAAAATCCACTGTGAATAGCAATATTTTACAAAATGGAGGAAAAGCCTGATTGACACAATAGTACCAAAACACTTAAACATATTCAAATATGGTGCTTCAGAGAAATTATGACAGTTATGATGTCACTACAACTCAGCCAGACATTATAAGGCATTTTTTGTAATTAAATAAACCATTCATTTTTGTAAATTCTTTTGTACTTGTTTGTCTCAAATCCATGCCTGCCATTTAGATGGAAGTATCTCTGTATTTACAGTGTGTATTGTGATGGGCATTTGGGTTTAATATTATATCAGACTGTGCTGCTACTAACTGCTTCATGCTTCGAGTGGTTGTCTCACATATTAATATCTTATAAGGACACAATTATAAGTCAAAATACTTGTTTTCATGTAATTTTTTTTTTCTGTAAAGGATTTGTACTGAAGTATTTTAAATAAATGTGATTTCAACGGGTAGTGTGACATGCTCATTTATGTACGAAAATAAGAAACACAAATATGCAGCAATGCCAGCAACAGAATTTAGTTCAACTTAGCAAACAGGCCAGATCAAATTCATATTCATAAATTCGTTTCATGTGTGTACCCATAGTAAATCACGCTTTTACAGCATTAAAGAGTGAGTACTCTTTGAATCTTCAAGGCAGGGTCTACTCCCACATGCTACACTGGATAATGCAGTCGTGGATCAAGGGAAATGTTAAATGTGAGCCCCAATTTTTTCACTTTGTTATTTCACAGGTATTGAAGCAAAAGCTCAAAATACTAGTTTAAATTTATGAACTTCAGTAAATATCAGTTACTAATTGATCATTTGTGATCAGGTGAAACTAGCATGCTCGCATATGAAAAGCCACAATAATCTTAGATTTAAGTCAAGTCCAGACAAGACTGGTGCATTGTAAGTGGGGGATGTGGTGTCGCAGACCTCAACATGCTTTTATAACTGAATTTATAACATTGAAATAGTTGGGCTTTGAAAACCATCTATCTGCATTTATGTTATTTAAATTCCCCTCCAGAAGGTAATTTGAAGCTGTATAAAACTATATTTTTGGGGGCTTTTTTGTTTACTGTTTCAGTCTCCAGTCTCTCATTTTAACTTCTTTTTGGATTATATGATAAAGACCTGAATTCCATTTACGCTAAATTACTTATTAAGTTAATCTTCAATTTTTTGTGCCTGAATAAACTTGACTTTTTGAATAATTTGTGTAATTTGTGAACACTAAGAACACTTATATATTAAATGACACAAGTATATGATAAACGTTTATTATATACGTTTTAAACTTGCACAAATTGAAATTACCTGCTGAAATTTTCAAAGGGGGACATTCAAACCACATCAGGGCAGGCAGATGGTGGTTCTCAACATAGCCTGCAATTTGAATGCTATAAATTCAGTGGTAAAAATTTCTACATTAAATATGCAGTAGTAATTACATTTCCCAATTGTGTGTTTAATTTAAATCTTGCAGCCTTTTTTGGCTTCCATACTTGTAATTAATTTTAAAACTGTGTCAGATCTGCTAATTTAGCATCAGCTGTTTGTGCACAACAGACAATGTGAGGAAGGGGCGTATTTATTTTCTGTGGGGATGTCACTGCTTCGTTTCATCATCCTATTGGCTCAGAAGCTTCCGGCTTCTTCCTATTGTATGAGATTAACAAAACAGATACAGTCGGTACTACAGTGAGTAGATATTATAGTTATATAGAGGGTACAGTTCATCCCTTAGACAGTTTTTTCTCTTTGCCTGGACGTTTCGCCTCTTGTTTATCGTGTAGGATTAACTAGGAACTGTCGACTGTCAACTAAAGTAGATTATTTTAGCTCGAAGCGGATTGCAGCCATGATGGCGTCAAGCTACAACGCTAAGGAAGAGGACGGACACCCCTCGGGTGCTTCGAACCACGGAGGCGCAGTGGCAGCGAAAAGTAAAAAGCCGGATAACACTGCGTTCAAGCAGCAGAGACTACCAGCCTGGCAGCCCATCCTGACAGCAGGCACCGTGCTGCCTGCTTTCTTCGTAATCGGTCTCATCTTCATCCCCATCGGCATCGGCCTGTATGTTTCATCAAACAACATCAAAGAGTTCAAGGTACCGTCTGCCTGTGTTTTAACTAGCTAACTTTAAAGCCACTACGGACCAGCTTCGTCTAGGGTTTTCTACACAGTCCAGTTCAAACGGGGCAACTAAGGCGACAGTAAGCCGTGCAATTAACGTTAGCTAACTTAACTGCTGTGATGCTGATACCTTAATAGCTAGCTTGACATATTTCTGAATAGTGTCAGACTTTGCCATGTTGAAATGACCGTATATACTCAGTTGTCAGTTCATAAAGTAGCTAGCAGCTGAAGAGCTAAAACCACTGCAGTCTAATAACAGCACTGTGATGAAAGGTTATAGTGTTCAGTTGTGTTGAAACCGTTTTAAAAAGGTGTGAACTTGTGGTCATTTGGAGACTTCAGTTATTGGTACTGCAGTGTAATGACAAGTGTTTCTAGTATTGTGTCCACACATTTAATGTTACTTCGAAATGTTAGAAACACTTTAGTATTACACCAAATTTATATGACAGAGGGGAGACATACTGTTAGAAAACCCTTTTAGTGTAACATCCCACTTGGTATCAGTAGGGTAAAATATTAGGGTAAAACTAAAACAAACACAAAAAACTACAGCTTCCAAAATGACCTGAAAAAACTGTAAATGAATATGGAAGAGTAAACAGTATGAAATGGTATTTATTTTTGCTGGGTGTACTTAATATGTTCAATTCTGCTGTTTTTTATTAACTAATCTGCTTATTTTCAGATTGATTACACTGGTGTGGAGAGTTCCGATCCATGCTACAGCTGTGCAAAGAACTTTAGCTGGAACAGCACAACACCATGTGTCTGCTCTTTGTCCTTCACATTGAAGCAGCCATTTGAGGTGAGCAGCAGTTTACATTCGCATTAATTCATTTTATCTATCAGTTACTGGAGCAACTAGGGGTTAAGTGTCTTGCTCAGGGACACAATGGTGGATGTCTCACAGTGGGAATCGAACCCAGGTCTCTCCCACACCAAAGGCAAGCATCTTATCTATGCGCCATCACCACCCCCAGCATCCAATGCTTGTCATGCTTCAGAATTGATAGTGTTGCTTGAAGTGCAATAAAAGAAAAAAAAGACTGCTCTCCTGACACTAAATGTCCATTAAGAACTATTTAAAGTCCAAAGAAACACTCAAGGTTTGTTTGGAGCCGTCATTATCATTGATTATTCTACTCTTAAAATATGCAGCAACTTTCAGAAAGCTTTTATTGATTCAATATAAAAGCTCTCAGCCAGCTGCATTTTCATCTCAACAGTTTCCTGTTAAGACAACCCAGTGTCACTAAGTATTGCATATATTTAGGTTATGATTTAGCATAAATGCATTTTTGTAGCAACTAAAATCAAACAGGGATCCATCTCTGTCCATGTCATTTTAAAACGTAAAGAAACCTATATTTTAAACATGTAAATCGAGCTGATGATCTAAAGAATCATTTGAGCGTCACCTTGCTGATGTACTTCCTAGCCTTTACTGATATACTCTGTCTGTAACACAATCTCTCCTTCCCTGCAGAGCAATGTCTTTATGTACTACGGCTTATCCAACTTCTATCAGAACCACAGACGCTATGTGAAGTCCAGGGATGACAGCCAACTGAATGGTGACCTGTCTGCTTTGAAGGTATAACCTTGGAAATGTACTGTTATTACATGTGGTTTCAACACATGCCTTTTGCATCAGTTTAACACTGGCTGCTTTTTACAGAACCCCAGCAAGGAATGTGAACCGTACCGTACAAGTGAAGGACTGCCCATTGCTCCATGTGGGGCCATAGCGAACAGCCTTTTCAATGGTAAGTCAGTCGCGATGAACAACTCGTCAGCAGTGTATATCAACTCATGGATTCAACTGGAGTCTGACAATTGAAATGCTTATTAAAAGCTCTGTACATAATAAAACTCTGACATTAGTTTGCAGAAGTTCACCTCATTTGCTGCACTTCCTTAATGCAGAAATGATCAATGTAATGCTTCTCTGTTACAGACACTCTGGAGCTGTATTATATTGATTCCAATGGCACCAGAAATGCAATTCCGCTGGTAAAGAAAGGCATTGCATGGTGGACAGACAAGCACGTGAAGTTCAGGAATCCTGGTGGAAACAACAACCTTACTGCAGCTTTCCAAGGTGATTTTAGCAAACTGTGCACAGAATCTTTTAGGCTCATAAACACTAAAGTTGCAGTGACTAGCTTGGTTTTGTCTTGTTCTTTCTCAGGCACCAATAAGCCAGTGAACTGGAGAAAGCCAGTGTACGAGTTGGACCCAACAGATTCTGAGAACAACGGCTTTATCAATGAGGACTTCATTGTGTGGATGCGCACGGCTGCGTTGCCTACCTTTCGCAAGCTCTATCGCATCATCCAGAAGAAGTCTAGCACAATCCCCACTCTACCCAGTGGCAATTACGCCTTGGACATCACTTACAGTATCCTTTGAATTATAGCCAGAAAATCTACCGCACAATCAAAACTAGAGCTAGCCTAAGGCTGTAGGGTTGGAATTCCTTATGTAAAGCTTCACAGAGTGAGATTATTATGTAGAAACATACTCATTTTAAATTGCATAGATTGGCTTGAAATTTACTAATCCTGTCTACAGACAGTGACAAATCCAAACTTAGTGAACAACAAAACACCTAAATAACATCAAGTCAATATCTGAACAAATTGAATTTAGCTTGTTGTCAGCCTGCTGTCAAGAGACCCCACATAGAGAAGTTTGCGAATCACGCGCAGACAGTTCATGCAAGTTCCTAAAGCCAACAAGTAAACTAAAACTAGTGTTACTCTACAGAGCTAAACTGAAAATTGGCCATGTGACATTGTTGACCATTTACAAGCAAAGAATGCACCTAAACAATGATTAGCAATTAATTAATCACTTTATGGCTTTCAGTAGATTCGTATGGTGGTATGATCTTATTATATCAGGATTTTACAAACCTTTGCAATGATTCTGAGCAAGCTGTGACTAAAACTATCAAGACTAAACTTTTCGCTTTACACAGATGAAAACCTTGAGATCATGTAATGCCCAACATTTGGACACAGTTTATTGCTTAGTTTATTGCTTTAGGTGACTATACATTTGTATGAACTTAAGAAAATGCATGTGAAAAGAAAATCACGCAAGTAAAAAGAGAGAACCTAAGACAAAAAATACTTTATAAGTTATAAAATATAAATACTGTGGTAGGCAGGTGTACAGTAATGATGAAATGAACAAACCGTAATGTTGACATGTTATGGACAGGTAACAGGATTTTACACTCATAATATATATACTGTGATAGTTACACAGCTTGTAAACAGGGGTTGTCAAATTGTTTACAGTGTTGAGCTCTCAGGGCCACTGTACATTTGCCATAGTGGAGGATGTATTGATATCAGAAATGATCCGTTGTACATCTCTCTTTACTTTTCTCAGAGCAGCAACATCATTGTAAATGTGTAGTTGTAGTAAATGTGTATTTATTGATCCTGTTGTCAAATGTACTTTTTTTTTCAATCCAGAAGCTCCGGTCCTTTTTCTTTAACCGTATGCCACCAGATTACCCAGTGCTCAGCTTTGATGGTCGCAAGCGCATGATCCTGAGTACCATCTCCTGGATGGGAGGAAAGAACCCCTTCCTTGGCATTGCCTACATCACCGTGGGCTCGATCTGCTTCTTCCTGGGTGTGGTTCTGCTCATCATCCACCATAAATATGACACCCGTAACACCAGTGCAGATATTCCAAGTTAATCTGTTCGTGTATCGCGTTTCCGTGTCTCTGCATGCATGGATGAACCCAAGGGGATGCGTTCTGGAACGCTTGTAGATTATTTAAATTTTTTTTGCCGTGAATACACTGGTCTGTGTTATTGTCTGTTGTGTGTTTGTGCAAGGACAGCAGTGTCTTAAGTGTTTCATCAAAAGCTGTGTTTAAGTGTAACTAAGGCAAAAGATTGGTGCTAGAGTCTGTCTCTGTGCACATACCTTCATGTCAGCAGCTGAGAATGTCATTGTCCTGTCTTCAAAAGAAAGTTTTTATCTTCTATTTGTCTTTACATTATAAACGTATGTTTTATTTTAGCAGTGCTTCGCGAATGGCTTAGTTATTAAAGGATGTAAGTATTTTAAACGCAAGTTTTTGTCCATACTCTGTACTGTAATATGTCCTGCTGATGAATGTACCATTATATTTCATTGACATACCTCTGTGGTCTTTGAGATTACCTTGAATATAGGATGGCATAGTCATTGCTTGTGTGCCGTTTATTATGGTAAACATTGATGTGTAACAAGAAGAATTTTATCCTTGGAGAGTCCAAGAATACTCATGACAAGTTGTACCAAAAATGGGGATCCTCACTGTTGTGACTGGTTCTATAAAGAGACTGAGCCAGTCATTTGGCATCTTTTTAAATTTAGACTCTAATGCTTATTAATGATAATGTTAACCTATACCACTATATCCAGTATTCTCAGCTCTAAAACTCTGGGTAGCATCTCTGCGTTCTTCAATGTTGACCAAATGATATGCACTTTAAAAGTGTCATGTTTGTTCATTTTCCCCCTTGTTTCACTTCATCTTCTGTTAAAATATTACGATCCTGATTCATTTATATTAAGTAAATTGTTTGAACTATAAATTTATGGGTTTTATAAGGTTTGTAGGGTCGAATTAAACAACTTCCTGACTGTACTGGCGTCATTTGTGATTTTCTGATTCTGATTATTGCAGAGCACTACCTCTACTGTTTTGTGGATGTTTTCTTTATTTTGTATTTATTACCGCCATAAAATTGTTAAAGTAATTTTTTTTTATTAAGAATTATTAACAAGACTAATAACAATCTCACGCGACCGGATATGACAGGCCCACCAAGGGATTGTGGGAAGTCATGCTGTCAGTGTCCGTCCTTGTGCTGTTCCTTTAGCTTACCCTAACACACAAGTTTGCCAAAATGTACAGACAATTTATGGTAAGAGAGCCGTTTAATCTGTTGCATTTAGCATAAAACGTTCCAGTTTTTTCATTTAAGTGTTACTGTGGTGTAATAGTTGTAAATGTTGGCTAGCTTAGTTTCTGATTAACGTTATGATTAACGTAACGTTAACGGTAAGTTACCTAGCTAAACTCTTCAAACTAACCTAGCTAACTTACGTCGGCAGCTACGTCTTACCATGAATTGAAGTTATTTAATGTAATAAATACTTGTGTTATTCTCGTTATAATATGTTATTGCGTGTTTAACGTCATAACTTTAACACAGTCGCCCTCTTTCGCAGGACGCCAGCTAATACCTGGTAGGTTAAGGAACAAGTCGAGCATTAGTGAGTCAGGTTGAAGTTCGTTACCGCTAGTGACGTTAATGATGCACGAAAGTTTCGACCTTTTTTAATGTGTATCGATTGCTTCGCTTCAACTCAACAAAAAAACGACCACCACGAACGCCTTGCACTTAGTGGTCGTGTGTTTTTTTGTTGAGTCCGTATCACACACGCGACGTCCTTATCCAACTGTACTGCCACATAAAACTGTCGCCCTAACAAGGTGAAAGTGAATATGTTGAGAAGACGGAGAATTTTGAGAATAAGAAAGGTAACTGTTAAAGTTTCACGTAAGAGTAACTTTAGTTGTAAGTAAACTTATTGAATATAAGTAACAATTATGAAACCAAGAAATCATAATTTTATCGGGATGATGGCCATCCATTTATCCATGCCTTTTGATCCAACAGGCAACTTTAAACATTTTGCCAAACCAAGAACCACCTTTTATTATTCTAAATAATCAAACGTGACAGCAGTGATGTGATCTCTGTTTTGACTTGAGTCTTGGCATTTCACCCTAATCATACAAATGCAATACGTAGGATTGGCCAGCAGATGTCAGGATTTTAGTACCAGTATGAAACCTTTTCAAACAAGGAACTACACTGCTCAAAAAACATAAAGGGAACACTTAAACAACACAATGTAACTCCAAGTCAGTCACAGTCCTGTGAAATCAAACTGGCCACTTAGGAAGCAACACTGATTGACAATCAGTTTCACATGCTGTTGTGAAAATGGAATAGACAACAGGTGGAAATTAGCAAGACACCCCCAATAAAGGAGTGGTTCTGCAGGTGGTGACCACAGACCACTTCTCAGTTCCTATGCTTCCTGGCTGGTGTTTTGGTCACTTTTGGATGCTGGCGGTGCTTTCACTCTAGTGGTAGCATGAGACGGAGTCTACAACCCTCACAAGTGGCTCAGGTAGTGCAGCTCATCCAGGATGGCACATCAATGCGAGCTGTGGCAAGAAGGTTTGCTGCGTCTGTCAGTGTAGTGTCCAGAGCATGGAGGCGCTACCAGGAGACAGGCCAGTACATCAGGAGACGTGGAGGAGGCTGTAGGAGGGCAACAACCCAGCAGCAGGACCACTACCTCCGCCTTTGTGCAAGGAGGAGCAGGAGGAGCACTGCCAGAGCCCTGCAAAATGACCTCCAGCAGGCCACAAATGTGCATGTGTCTGCTCAAATGGTCAGAAACAGACTCCATGAGGGTGGTATGAGGGCCCGACGTCCACAGGTGGGGTTTGTGCTTACAGCCCAACACCGTGCAGGACGTTTAGCATTTGCCAGAGAACACCAAGATTGGCAAATTCGCCACTGTCTGGAGACACCGTGGAGAACGTTCTGCTGCCTGCAACATCCTCCAGCATGACCGGTTTGGCGGTGGGTCAGTAATGGTGTCGGGTGGCATTTCTTTGGGGGGCCGCACAGCCCTCCATGTGCTCGCCAGAGGTAGCCTGACTGCCATTAGGTACCGAGATGAGATCCTCAGACGCCTTGTGAGACCATATGCTGGTGTGGTTGGCCCTGGGTTCCTCCTAATGCAAGACAATGCTAGACCTCATGTGGCTGGAGTGTGTCAGCAGTTCCTGCAAGAGGAAGGCATTGATGCTATAGACTGGCCCGCCCGTTCCCCAGACCTGAATCCAATGGAGCACATCTGGGACATCATGTCTCGCTCCACCAACGACACATTGCACCACAGACTGTCCGGGAGTTGGTGGATGCTTTAGTCCAGGTCTGGAGGAGATCCCTCAGGAGACCATCCGCCACCTCATCAGGAGCATGCCCAGGCGTTGTAGGGAGGTCATACAGGCACGTGGAGGCCACAGACACTACTGAGCCTCATTTTGACTTGTTGATGTAAGGACATTACATCAAAGTTGGATCGGCCTGTAGTGTGGTTTTCCACTATTTTGAGTGTGACTCCAAATCCAGACCTCCATGGGTTGATAAATTTGATTTCCATTGATAAGTTTTGTGTGATTTTGTTGTCAGCACATTCAGCTATGTTAAGAAAGGAGTATTTAATGAGATTATTTCATTCATTCAGATCTAGGATGTAATTTTAGTGTTCCCTTAATTTTTTTTGAGCAGTGTATTTTTTTTTTTTTAGCACACTGTCTTCAAAGTGGTTCAGTGGCTACAGAAATTGTAGCCACTGAAGTTGAAGTCTGCTTGCTGAGCTGTCAAAGAAGCTTTGTTAACGTTGTGTTGCTTAACGACACTTGGTGTGTATTGTGTCATTTCAATTTCTCATGCTGTCTCAGTGCTAATTAGTTTACATCATGATCCACTGTCTCCCATGCTTGAATTATAACTGTTTAAACTGTAACATCCTCAGTTAAATACTTGTACCACCAGGGACTTCGACAGCTTTCCAGGCGGACCATCACTGGCAGTGCACCCAGACGGGTTGATAACACTGTGAAGGTCAAACAAAAACAGTTTCAGGTAGGGTTAAACTCTGTAAAAGTATAATCCCATTGGTATCCCATCAGATCTTTGTAACAGTGTTTCAGAGGCTGTGTTACTTCTGGAAGCCACAGGAGCAGTCTAGTCTTATAAAGAACTTGCTTTTTGACACTTGGAGTGACATGCTTGAGCAAAAGTTATACCATAGATTGGGAAGTGAAATGTTTAAATATGTATCCCTTAACCTAAACAGTATGTCTGATTTGAGAAGCGTTATTGTCTGAGGTGAAATCACAAGGTGTGTAGGACCTCTTGTCATACCTTTTTTAAAGTAACTTTGTGCCCGTTTGACCTTGTTTTCATTTGCTAGTGGTTAAAGTGAGACAAAGAATGAGATTTTTTAACTGATAATGTTTAAGTCACTATGGTAATTGTTAAGTTACTCTACTTTTATTCCCAGGTTCTGGAGACAGAATCTAATTTTATCGTCTCTGTAGCCTGACAGATAAGTATCGGAGGATCTTCCCCCTACAATGTTTAAATGACCGTTGATTGTAGCTGGGGCTGGCGTTACACTAATTATGCTTGCAAGCTGCTAGTGAAAAAGACATTGCAAAATCAACGTTCCAATGTGGCAGACTTTGCTGATCCTTGCATAGCGCTAGAAATGACTGTAGCCATAGTTGACAAATGGCTTACCCTCGCTTCTAAATCCCAGAGCAAGCACTGCTTTATTGCTACGGTTAACCAGAGATGAGCTCTACAAAAATTGTAATACCATAGAAAGCAAACATACAAAGTAGTACTGTGTTATTATGTATTTACATGCCTTCATTCTTTGCTCTTTGAACAGGAGAACAACGGTATACCGATCCATCTGAAGGGCGGGTCAAAGGACGCTCTGCTCTACAGAGCCACAATGACTCTCACTGTGTTTGGTATGTCAGGATTTGTCTGAGATTCAATGAGTCAGGCTCACTCCCTTATGTCTCAGTCTGTCTTTTGAATAAAACACATTTCATACCCGTGACTTGACCCCAATGTTATTACTGAAGCTGACTTTGAAAGTAAAATGACTGTGATTTGATGATGCATCATCAAGGGTTGTTTGAAGTCAGGATAATTAGCTGGTGTTGTATCCCCGTCACATCTGTAATTCATGTCTGATCTCTTCACAGGGAGTGGATATGTTGTGTATGAGCTGTTTAGTGCTGCAATGCCCAAGAAGGCACAGTGAAGCAGGACTGGCAAATTGGACTTTGTCAACTCATGAAACAATCATGCACATGCTGTATTAAATTCATCTACTCTGTTGTGCAGATTTGTAATCTGGGAAATTGTTTGTCCTATCAGTAATATAAATATATTTTTAATGTTTGAAATAATTATTGATTGTACAAATCATGAGCTGCAAATAGTAATAAAAGTATACTTCTCTTGAGATTGTGTCAATTTGTTTGGTACATTTAGCTGCAAGCTAAATTGAGCTTATATGTTTAAAGAAATATATCAAGACCCCTTTATTTTTCTTCACCCTGAATCTGAGTTTAGCAGGAGACTGCAGGCCAGCTGAAAGTGAAATATTTAAATCCAGCAAGATTGGGGTTTTTCACACCAGTCCAAACTTTTTTATAGTGTAGGTCCTTGGTTTGAGCAGGAGAGGGCACCAAAAACCAACCAGTCAGAGGGGCGCTCCCTGGCAGTGAGTAGCAGAGGAGACTGTTTCTGAAATACTTATTTTCCGTCAAAGGTTAATTTTCCATTGATTCACAAATTATAAATAAACTTATGAAATAAACGTGATAATATGAGTAGGCCTAGAGTTGTTTTTTTTCTTTAAGCATATAGGACGCATTATGAGTAATAGCCACTTTATGATCTCAAGAGCCAAGAGATTTCTTTTTAGGAAGCGAAAAAAATTCTACTTTTTCTTTCTACTACAGTTGAC